CGTATTTTCCCGGCTTGAAGTTCCGCGCGCTTTTATTTATTTTTTTACATTAAAAAACGCGGTCATATGATAAAATGCTTATTGACTGCGCTCGCTGCGCTCGGTCCGTACAGCATAACCTCGAGCCAAATATTTTCCCGTACGGCCCTCCCACTCAGTCAATAAGTACATAGTATTTCCCCCCAGAGAAACCTGGGAATGAGCCCCTTAGGCTGCGAGAGGAGAGTACTGTATTTGAATCACATTCTTCATTCCAGTCATCCCAATACCGGTGTCTGTAGCGAGCTGCATGTCTATTGTTACTTACCTTGTTATCATGAGCGATTGGCTGTGCTGTGAATTGACTGAGACTTGGCTTTTTCTCTCCATATAATGGCAACGATGGAACTTGAGACACCGAGAGTTTCTCTGGACGCTATGACAAGAAGTGCGCACATTGTTTAACCTTGACTACGTACGAACACTGGTTGATTCATCATGGCGGCAATACATTGATGCATTATATTTACCTTATCAACAACAAGTCGTACCACAATGCCAACAGAAGGTTTTGCTCCAGTATAGCTCGTGATATGACCCTAGTGTACCAAATCGATTAAAACATGTTAACTAGCTCGATGGTATACTTATTATGGTAACGATGATGGTTCAGTGATAATTTATTTAACAAATTCCGGAATCTCGTGGCATACCGTCGTATTTACAACGCCCACGAGACGTAGTCTAGCATATGAATAATAATTTGATAATGTGTCGGATGACAGCGACCGAACAGCGTTCTCTGTCAACTATTTTATTTCGGAACATCTAGTTTCCATCGAGAAGAGGATATTACCCTTAACTKAGCTACTTTGTAGTTTAACTAGCGAGGAGACACATCGGACGTTTGTTCTAGCGAGAGCACAGGACACAGCACTACTAACAGCGTACCTGTACTGGAAGACCATTGATTTTCAAACCAAGTTTCGCATTGTCTTGTTGTAAGGCTGCAGCTAGTTCCTTGTTAAGTATTTGACTACAGTATCCTACTGGACCAGTAAGCAGCCATCCATCATCACTTAGACCTAACAGCAATAAAACATCGATTAGGTTACGTGGTCTTGCTGAATGAAACGGTAAAAACAATTACCATGAGACTTGCTGTAAAACTCGATGACTATAGCACTGCTCCCAATAAACAGTGAATCCATTTCACCAGGGACAAAGAACATTTGATTCCACTGAGGATGATTGACAGGTTCTCCACACACAGTCACCTGATTAACAATAGCAAAAATGACTTAACTTTCTATCTGACATGGCAATCCATCCATTGACCAATATTAATACTCTTTAAAGCTATATTTGAATCAGTATATGCGGGCTATGTACTGGCTGCCCTAGTGGTATCAGGTGTTATATAAGTGTGACAAATAGTTGTATATCATGTTGTCTTCTCCAAACCTCGCACTGAACATTTGCAGAAGTTTATCTGACAAGATAAATAATAAGATTACCTGAGGTGAACCTGATCCCAATGCTTGTCCAGCCACAATGAATGATGTGGGGTGTGGTGAGGGGAAAGAGATGGTTGCTGAAGGAACATTTGCCAAAGTTGGATTGGTCGACAACATTGTTTCTCTATAAAAAAAGAAAAAAAAAACAGTCAGATACACATCGTTACAACTGTATGTAGCCTGTATGTAGCCTGTAATGTAGCCTGTATGTAGCCTGTATGTAGCCTGTAATGTAGCCTGTATGTAGCCTGTATGTAGCCTGTAATGTAGCCTGTATGTAGCCTGTATGTAGCCTGTAATGTAGCCTGTATGTAGCCTGTATGTAGCCTGTAATGTAGCCTGTATGTAGCCTGTATGTAGCCTGTATGTAGCCTGTAATGTAGCCTGTAATGTAGCCTGTAATGTAGCCTGTATGTAGCCTGTATGTAGCCTGTATGTAGCCTGTATGTAGCCTGTATGTAGCCTGTAATGTAGCCTGCTTACAGGCGTTTCTGCTGGGGGCCCGAGAAGGAATGGGGAGGAGACCCCCAACATTACAACAACTGTAGAATACGGTAATAAAGATTGTCGGTTGTAAGGTCATGAGAATACATGTGCATTTAATGCAAACTCCTCTTCACTAATGGAACTACAGAGCTTGAGGAGTCTGATAAAATTTGATTAAAAAACGATTTAACTAAAACAAGAATATTCAAACTACACATGTTCAAGAGCAAGCATTCAAAAGCATTTGCGAAATATGAACAACGCGAAACCCTGTTTGTTATAACTAACAAATTCACAAACTCAAATTACAAACGAAAAGCAGTTAGTAGCAAACTTTGATACTCATCTACGTACTTCTATAAAAAGGGTTTAAAAATATTATAAATTAAGTGTCTTTGATTAGTAGAGGGAGTTCCTCCCTGCTAAATGTTATTGACACATTAATAAAGTTTATCATAACTATGTTATATTATTAGAAAGACTTTACTTCAGGGCGCGCTCTGGCTGACTTACTTGTAGTCATTCCAGTCAGGAACAACTCGAGCCACTGCGAGAAGAGAGCCAAGCTGATTTGCGATTGGGGACTCAAATCCTCTCAGAAAAAACTGGAATAGAAAACTCATACATTTCACGTATAAAAATACATGCTAATACTCATTCAAAGCACCCCCGGTTCTTCAAGTTCTTTAACCAACCTCCATGCCAAACATGAACAGATCCTCGCTGTTTAATGTGGCAAGACTATCATACTTCACTATCAATGACAGGTACAGCTTTGAACTGTTGCTGAGGTCCCTGTTGGGCTGGAGAGTGAATAAAAGCGTAAATCGTGTTAACGGATTTCTATTCTTCGATATCAAAACTTATGTTTCAGCCTGTAATACATTGACGGGAAGTTAGTAGAATAGATTTTTCGCGGTTAAAGCCATGGCGAGCAACATATTTCTGCAGCCGTCAAATGAGCAAGAGTGCCAAGTCAAAACAAAATTATGACTTTTGCCATCAACAAAAATCATTTTCGTGACATTGCAAAAAGTGAGATAAACAAGCTCAAAAAAGACAAATTGTTGCCCGATTCTGCCTCGCTTTGGTGCAAAACCACAGGCCCCTCGCGTAAATTGTTTCCTAAACGYGTAAAGGGCTATTGAATCAAAGAATATATAGACAAAGAGAAAAACACCCACAAGAGCCCTTTGCATATAATATTGTTGAATTGTCTCTATAACCTCCCTCTGCTCCTCTTCCAATGAGACGGTGGCGTGGTCAGGCTATTTATGAGGGCTGGTTTGAAAAAACGTCCACCACTGTTATTCATGTTTTCTTATTACAACAGTCACATTGAATAAATACGTTGACCTGRCAGCCAACAGAAAGAATGAATAAACCGATGGCTGGATAAAGAGTCAGTTGGATGGAAAATGGTCTCTTGCTCTGATGACGTCATGGTAGWTTAGCGAAGTGCATCATGGTATAGACAAAAAATGTATCAAGACGGCTGATGTTTCCCCGCCCAAAAAAATACGAAGGAAGAGAAGATCAACGCTATTCCTTGTCTGAGGTTAAAATATGAATAACTGAATTCAGATGGCTGGTACACAATGCTCGATTTATGACGCAAACAAATTAATATACGACTTGACGATGTTTTCACCTATCCCATGAAGCATCTCAACGGAAATTCTCGCAGGAGAAAAGATAATCGAGCGTTGTCGTTATACCTTCACAAGTTCTAAATTGTACTGATGAAAAGGTTTCAGATTTGAGATAGGTATCTCATATTCTACTAAAATCTCTTTGCTTGGATTGTCAACAACTGTTACTATCAAATCTGAAAGAGAAATACAGAGAAATACCAAAGGTGACTTGACTTGAGATTAACTTGCAAGCTTGCCTGTTTGCCCATCTTATCTTTATATAGATTTTCAGATTATCATTATATTTTCGACATATTTTGTTAAGCAAAACCGGCAATTATATCAGAACTTTAAACATAGGCTACCCAACTATTGCTTGAGAGAAAGAAAAGAATGAATGCGCACGCTTTTATATTATGTTATCGAATCGGCGTGCGCTGTGGGTTACCTGTGGTATTACGTCACTATCGCGCGCCTCGCGGGATACAAACTAGTCTGTGACAAGGTATGAAACACTGGTCACGTGA